AAAAAAAAAAAAAAAGGAAGGAAAGAAATATTTGACTGAATACTTAATCCAATCCTATATCCAAAATCGAGAGTTTCTCTCAGGCTTGCCAATGACTGGCAACTGGTAGTTGCTTCTTTTAATAGGTAGTGCATTTTGTGGCTTCTGTGATGTCCCTGAGTCCTCCTTACAGATTTTTCTATACCTGTAGGTCACAAGGTGACAGAAGGTGCAACAGAGACATCTGTACCTTCCAGAGAAGAAGATGGAGCAATGAACACCCAGGCAGCAGAATTCTTCATAACCTGAAATTTTTTTATAGTTCTATATGATGGTAATTTATATTCAAAATGTCCAATTTGACAGTTCAGAATCTTTAAATGCCACATTAAGCTACTTCTGGTTTTACTGCTAAGCATATTTTATTGTGTTTTAATTCTCTAGGTGGTTGCCGGTCCACCGGAATTAGACTCCCCTGCGGTGCTCATTAAAATGTGGAGTCAACAGGTATTACTTTTTCACTCAAAGGTTAGCTCATGAAAAGAAAATTCAGATTCCTGGGGCCACCCAGACCTACTGAATTAGAGTTTCTAGGGATAGAGCGTTGAGATCTGCATTTTTTCATGGGGTCACCAGGTCATTCTCATTCACACCAGGGTAGGGGAAAAGCACTGGCTTAGAATTTCTACAGTTACTTCCTAATAACCAAACTAATTCTTAGATAAATCTGGATTCTCAGGTGTGTACTGTTCAGAAGTATGAGTTGTAACTGTATTTGTTACAACATGATCTGACCTATAGACTCAGGGGGATCTTTCTGCTTTTCAATCTGTTATTCCCCCCCCTTCACTTTCTATAATTAAAATGCATTTTAAAGAAACAATCTCCAGGAACTGTGAGAGCACATTTTTAAAGGTTAAACCATGGGGGCACACTGTCCTTTAGGGTTGGCTCTCCTATTAACACTTCCATCTTAGCTCTTAGTGAAATGCGCACAGGCGCAGACACACGCCCCCACGGCTTCAACTTCAGGGCTAGCTGAACATCGGGTACTTGAATAACAGCAATCAGGCTCCCTCCTTCCTTTGTTAATGTATTCCAACCTAGCCACCCACGGTCAGAGATTCTACAGAGAAGGTTCATAGCCACTGTTCCTGAATAGGAGTTTGTACTCTTAAATGACACGGAAAATACCTTCCCCTCACCCACAGAGACTCTGAATCTTGGCAGGAGCATTTGCTCATCAGTCAGAAGTATTGCACTAATGCAGCTACCTGTAACACACAAAGTCACACAGACCCTATAAATTGCTTTTCCAAGCCACCAAAATGCTATCTTACCCCCTCCCTTCCTCCCCGCCCTACCCCCCTAGCTTGTGTTTAAAAATAAAAACCAATTCTGCTGACGTCTGGTTTTCTTGCCTCACCACAGGAAGTGGACTGGGTGAGTTCTCACATCACATGTTCAACAGAGGGCACCAAACGGTGTCTGTGGGTCACCTGCCATCGGCTGTGCGGAGCTCGGCCTGCCCTAGAGCTGTGGAAGCACTTTCCCTGGTAGCCCTCAGCTCCAGGGAGGCACAACCCATGTCAGAACCCAGCTTAGCAAAGGCTCTTGGAATCTGTGATTTAGGCAACAGACTCCAGGCTTGGTCACTCACGGGGCTGGCTTGTCCAAGACATCATCCTTAATCCCTCCCCCTTCCTTTGCTTCTCTCTCTAACCCCCACCTCTCAAAAAAGATGAGAGAGAGAGATGAAACAAAACAATATATCTGATTTCTTTGCCCTAAAAAATATATGTACATATAATTTTTCTTTATTCTGCTCTCTAGCAACTGCAATTGGGGGAGCCATTTAACTGATATTAAAATTATGATCCAACCTCTAGAGTAAGGTTTTTGGACAACAGTGTCGTAGGCCCAAATGAGGCTTGTTCATGCGACAAGTTCAGCAGTCTCCAAAGGGAACTGCATGCAGATGGGGATGGGAAACATAATCCACTCTAATATGAAAAGAAACGATTAAAACTCCCATTTCCTACTTATTGTTTCTCTAAAACAATAAGAAAGAAACGAGGCATTACTAATATTCAATAAACGGACTGTCACTGGCACCCTCCATCAGTATGAATGCCAGGTGATCAAATGATCTATCCTAAGATAGGAAAGTAAGTTTCAAGCAGCAAAGGGTTGATGGTGGGGCATTTTATGTATGTCTAAATTGTATTATCCAGTTTTAACTCAATGAATCCCAACACAATGGACAAGATGTTTGGAAATGTTCCTGTTGAGAAGCCACAAATTGAAGATGACTCTAATAATGTAAGCACGCATGAACAACAAGTAAATGGCAGAGTTGATCCTCCTACTTCCCAGGGTGAGATTTTTTTTTTTTTTAATTTCAGGTTAATGTGAGGGTACAAACAAGGAAATCATAATATTTGACTTTCTTAGGTAGAGTCCCTCTTGTAGCTATGTCCTGCACCCCAGTGAACTTTTTATTAGCCATATTGTAGGATTAACATTAAAAACCCTGATTCTGGCCAGTTGTAATGGCTTACACTTGTAATTCTAGCACTTCGGGAGCCTGAGGAGAGAGGATTGCAGACCAGCCTGAGTAACACAGCAAGATTCTGCCTCTACACAAAATAGAAACATTAGCCAGGCATGATGGTGCACACTGATAGCCCCAACTATTTGGTAGGCTGAGGCAGGAGGATTGCTTGACCCCAAGAGTTTGAGGTTGCAATGAACTTTGATAATGCCACTGCACTCTAGCCTGGGCGACAAAGGGAGATCCTGTCTCAAAAACAAAAGAAAAAAAAACCCCTCCCATTATCCTAATGGCAATCTAATCATAACTGATTCAGAAGTCAGCCAAAAATTCTAACAATTAACTAGTGGGTCATTTGAAATAAGTACTTATAGCCACTATCTTTAATGACAAACTTCACACTAAGTGCATATCATCCTGTAACATTTTAGTGTTTGCATGAAACAGTATTAAAAATTATTTCATTTTAATCTATTTTTTGATGTCCATGTTTATAGAAATATTATGAACATGTATATAATACGTAAATGAATAAATATACATACTTTAGAAATATATCTTCCCAATCTTTTTCCTGATAGGAATGAAGGATCATTTTAGAGATTGGTGCTATTGGTTTTAGAGTGTCAAGCTGCCAGGGTCCTCAGATTTCAGGTGACCTCTATTATAGAAAATGCCCCAAAGACAAAAGACTTGAGCCTAAGGTTAATAATGCTAGTTGGTAACATTTCCTAACCCAGAAACCTAAGGTCTTAAAGGGCGAGATGACTTGTGTAGGATCACTCTAAGCAGGGATGGTCCTGGATTCTTCTGATTAAAAGGCCCGAAGTCGCCTCTCTCTATAAATATAGAGAGATATAGAGGAGGAAATCTGAGCACACATTGGAAATTCAAACAGAATTAAAACCACTGGTGTAGAACCTGAATTTCTGTAGCCAGCAAGCTACTAAGACCTACCGATGCCTTCTATACTTACAATGACTCCTGGGTAATAACCTCCAACAGTCACATTCTGGGTCCTGGTGGTTGCAGCAAGGCCCACCGTGAGAATTAACACGGACACAATAAGCAAAGTCACGGTGACATATATGGAGTTTCTTTTCCTCCGGTTGAAGGCTCCTGAAAGCACAGGGAGAAACTGAAATTGTTCATGTCAGCTGAGGAAGGGAGTATCTAAAAGAAAAAAGAAACACTAGAAAGATTTTCCTTTCCTATTCCTACTGGTAACTGGGGTGATTTTTAGGGTGTGGGATTAGGGGAAGGGATACAATTTTAATTTTTACCGTCATCAGGTGCCATTTTTGTAATACAAAATATTTTCCAGTTTGAAAAAGAAACAACAGACAAAATTTTACCAGTTGCATCAAACCAAAACAAATGTTTGTGCTTCTGGCCCTCTATAAAAGATGTACCATACGCAGTAGAGTATTTTTTAGGCCAAATTATGAGGCGTATGATAAATGGAAAGTGCCTGCATGGGGGTAGTAAATGAAAATAGTTTAAAGCCAATGTGCAGTTAAGCCGGGTTTTTCTCATAAGCTAGAAATATGAAATTTCATTTCCAGGGTAAATATCAGAACGAAGCCAGGTGGCTGGGATTTTTTTTTTTCATTTATATCTGACATTTGCCACCTCATGTATAAACTTTGAAATGGTGCATCGGCAGGATTTGTCACAAAACAAATGTGTGTAATAAAGTAAGTGTTTGGAGGCCATTAGTCTATAAAGATCCGTATCGGGGGAAGTAGATAGGGAGGATTATAACTTATACACATTTAGGCTTATGTGAGGTTGACATAAATATAAATGATGAGAAACCCATTCTCCTACTCAGGGCTTATCAGACATGATAGAGCAAACCAATATTTTTTTTCAAAACCAGGCTTATTAAGTCAGATAGAAAAATGGCATCTAAGCTCATTTTCAATTTAGTTTTTTTAAAAAGGGACCCAGCACCCGTCCACACACTGCAGGCATTTCTCTGACATGGAGGGGGGTGCTGAAAAGGAAATACCAGGGGAGAATGACCACCTAGGAGTTCTCAGAAAAAACCCACCAGCAACAAGCAAATAGGGCATGCTATGGAAGTCCAGTTCTCTGGTGGAATCGTGGAAGGTGAAGCTGTGGGGAGTCCTATGATGGGGTCACCCACCCAGGCGGCTTGACTGTCATTTATGGCCCTAAAGAGACCACTTGGGTCTGATCATAAGACTTGTCATTCTGGGAGGCCTCACTGCAGCCTCAGGAATCAGTTGCCAAGAGAAGCCGCCCAGACTGCACCACTGGGAGGGAGGGGAGAGGGGATGGAGGAAGGGGGAGGAAGGCTAGAAAACCAAGTGAGACCCAGGAGGCCTGGTGGTGGGTGGTGAGAAGGAGGGGCTGTGGCCGGCCGGCAGCCTCCTGCAGATATGCCCTCTTCTATGGAAGAAAAGCATCAGAGAGCCACTCCGGGTTAGCCCCACCATCCATCTTGTCTTCCCCAGTACAGTCCCTGCCGAAGCCTCCCAGGGAGGTGGGAGGGGCTGGCGATCTACCCTGACGTCAGCCTGGAAAGTGAGGGATGTGACTCATCAGGGTCATTTCTAATAGGGGCCTATTCTAAGACTATTTTACATTGAAATGTAGAAGTGGTTCGAGGGTTATAGGCACCCGCATACTAAAGCACTACGTCTCACCCTGGGTAGAGAGGTAAGGAGAGTTGGGAAATGAGGCTTCTCCAGTGAGACCTAAATCCAGCCTCCATGGGGAAAAACATAGAGGCCCACTAGAGGCACCTGCGACCTCAGGGCTCTTTGCGTTAGAGGGTTATTAGGAATGCAAAGGGCAAGCTGACTGGTGGTAAACACAATGAGAAAAGCTGGGAAATGCAGACTGCGGACGCTGGGAAGGGAATGGGGTGGGACAGGATTCATTTCTTCTGTTTACCCGAAGGTTACCTATCCTTCCTCGTGATTTCTAGGGAGCCTAAATGAGTCTCTAACCAGAGTCACTAAGTCTATTTGATGACAGATGCTCCTCAGTGAATCTGTGAGTTGATTCACAGAGGGACTCTAATACAAACTTAGCCACATCACCTACCATTCTTACCTTCCTTTCTCCTTTGGCACTCGTGTCATCTCTAGCCCTCCCCAGCCTCTGGTAAAACGTGAGGGAATGTCTTTTTTTTTTGGCCAGGGCTGGGCTTGAACCCACCACCTCCGGCATATGGGGCCAGCACCCTACCCTTTTGAGCCACTGGCACCGCCCCGAGGGAATGTCTGGATACACCAAGGGTATCTTTGTGACCCACTAGTGTCTCAACACCTTACCCAGGAAACTCGTAACCTTAGAGACTAAATGGGAGTGTGTGTGTATGCATCCTCTTTCTAATTTGCTGTTGTTTCACTTGCCTGCTCTGCTACTTCCCCACCAAATGGCCTTTAATCTTAATCACAGATCTTGGGTCTTCTTTGCAGATATCTCTCAAACTCTTAAAAGCACAGGAGCCAGTCAGAAAAGTGACTCAGCAAACCACATGGTGTCATTTGAAAATCTATGTCTTTTTTCCCCTGCTTTAGAACCTGAACTGAAAAATCAGTCAGTTGAGAAACCCAGATAAAGATCCTATATCCCCATAGGGGCTTTACCCCCAGGTAAGATTTGCTTTGGATTGAATTCCTAAGAAAACCCTATCCCTAGGTTGGATATCTATTCTCTGTCCCTCACATCTCCTCACCCCATCACTTCTTATTTTACACTATAAAGACCATAATTATGTAAAATAAGATTATTTCCAGTTGCACTTGAAGAGTTGACTACGTTAAGGAACCCCCCACCCCCACCCCGTGACTCCTTTTGAAAATGAGGAATCACCCCTCAATTTATCTTTAGCATCAATTTGACTTAATAAAATTCACATCTACTTAGAGGAAGACATACCTGTTCTTGGAAGGTGGTGGCCCAGGGTCCTAAAAGACTGCTCATTATGTCTGCTTAGGACATTTTCCTGATGGCTCTTTTATTTTGGAAGGGAGAAGTAGAGCCCTGTCCTTATTAAGGTACAATTTGGGGCTTACCTTAGATGGAACACAGGACCATCTTATTCTGATTGTTTGGTTTAGTAAATTGACACATCAAAGAAAAACTAAGACACAATGAGATACTTAAATAAAGCAGCAGGTACTTGAAAACAGTGCCTATCACAGTGTTTGATACCTACTGAGCCGGCAGTACTTGTTGAATAAACAAGAAGCAGCATCTCAGAATTGTTTCCCTTCTAATCAAAAAGGCTGTAGGAGAAATTGTGTGAATAAATATGGGCTATGCTCATAGAATTGACTTTTTAAAATAGGGTACCCGTGAGGGCTCCCCCAAATTAAAGCCTTCTGGCCAATGAGTGTCACAATTTCAACCTCTCTCATTACCCTGTTTACTTGGTGCTCAGTACATTTCTGTTTAAATAACAGCTATTCCTGCAACCAACAATGGTGAGAGACTCTGAAATCTCATTGGCAATGCCTGCCCCCCCACTCCAGCAGCCTCCCTGCAGAACTACTGCAGCCCTCCCTCTCTGCAGTGCTCCACCTCCACCCCAGTGGAGTGACGACCAGTATGATCAGCTCTCAAAGCGCCCAATTATTTGCTGTCTCCACCCTTCTAAAAACAACCAGCTTTTCTCTCCTCCGAGTTTTTCCCTAATCAGAGCCCCCACCTGCATTGCGGTCTTTGAATCTGGATCCCTTCCTTCCTTTGAAACCTGCTCAAAACTCCCCTCCTCCAAGATGCTTTCTTCTCACTCTAACTGCTCATTATTTCATGTCCCCAAGTTCCTAGATACCTTACTCAATGGGTATATCAACTGTGACTGCTACCATTACAATTGTCACTGCGGGGCTGGTCCACAATCCATATCATGTCCATCAGTTCCAGGATTATGTATCTGACAGGAAAGAAGATGTCAGTTGCTAGAAGGGAGGATGTTGTCTCCATCTCTTGCATTTCTACCTTGTACATGTTCTTGATCTCCCCTTCCCAAGAGAACAGGTAGGCTATATGATCTTTATTGGGATACATTAAGATAGGGACCCAGTATCTGCCTGGTACAGTGAGTGCGTTGTTGATGCCTGGCTAACTCTTGGGATTGATCTTTTGAACTGATTAGGATTTTCCTTACCTGAGTCAGCTTTGCCATACAGGGTGGGTTCCAGGAAGTCCCAACCTTGAGCATCCGTGGAGACAGGTGGTTACCCATGCAAGAGTCTCAAGGCCCTGCCAATCTCCCAAATGTTTCCTTTAAAGGGGCTGAAATTCACATCCCCCAACTTCAGACAATTCTTTGAATGGAGACATCCAAGGCTGTCAGTGAATTATGAATGTGTTATTTGGGTAGGAAGCAATGCCGTGCTATAGTAGAGGTGCCAGTAGCGCCTGGGGGCGGTGTTACTCAAAGGGAGAAGGGGGTTGCTGTGAGGGTATTGAGGGGCCCTGCAGTCCAACTACCATCTTTATAATTGCCAAACCTTGGACTTACAGCTCCATGTCCAGGAAGCCAGCAAGCTACAGTGCAGGCACCTTGAGGGTGCACTGTGTGTCTCTGTGTTTTAAATTTTATCGTTTTGGCTGCGGTTGTGTCTTGTCTATAAAGGGAATCCCCTCAGAAACGCTGCCTTCAGAGGCTGAAATACTAGCCCACCCACCCATTCATTCCTCCCCACCCCTCGTGCAAGAGAAGGTGGTGTTGCCAGAGCCGAGTTAAGTGGGAGTAGCTCCTAAGTAGCCTAGACGCTGATTCAGGCCTGGGCTGTGTGGGACCAGCGCTAGGGAACTCCGGGGAGACTCCCCTGTATAAACTGTGGAAACCCAGGGTTACCACTGACTCAGGAATTTGCTAATGTTCTCGGTCTGCGGACTTTAAAAAGCAGAATGTGTGGTGCCCACTCTGCGTCTATATGGGATTTATGATTCCTTCCCCGCAGCGTCGAGACTGGGCTGGGTGAAGCCCACTCAGCTTCTTGTTGCGCAGACCTTTCTAGAAACGTAAGATTAGCTGAGGGCCCCTGGGAGCCCAAGAAAGAACTCTCTTCATCTTGTTCCCCAACACACAGAGCAGTGTGCCAAGTAGCAACTCTTTAAGCTCTGCACCACCAACCTGCCCACTCCCCGCGCGCAGACGACCGGGGAGGGGAGGCTTGGTTGCAGGTGGTTGTCGCCCGCAGCGGGAATGCGCGCTGCGTAACCCTAGCGCTCTTCCACCCAGCCCTCCCTAGCGCAACAGCTTGGCGTCGGGGAGCCAGAGCTGCGTTGGCGCCACAGCTGGCCAAGGTAAGGAGTGCAGTGTGCGCGTGTGTGTATCTGCGTGTGTGTGTGTGTGTGTGTGTGTGTGTGCGTGCGTGTGTAGAGTGAGCACTCGCGCGAGAGCGAGCTGCGAGTTAGGGGGGAGTCTGGTACTGTTGGACTCTGGATTCGGACCCGAATTCTTGACCCCATTTGTATCTCACCGCAAGTAACTACGCCCTTAAAATGAAAAAGAACAAATTCGTATACTGAATGTGCAAAAACATTGAAAATATAGATCTTGACACTATCCAGGAGAAAACACTTTCTGGCGCTCCTCCGGTGAACGAATTTTGTTGAGATTAAGTCTTTTTCAGTCAGTGGGGGCTCAATCTTCTCCCCACCCCCTCCCTTCGAGATGTCCCCGCAAATTCATCGAAGATCTGAGCAGGCTAGATCGGAGGAATTGCGGGGCAGAGGGTTTTTGCAGAATGTAAAGTATGTTGGAAAGAGGGAATTCGATTTGGTTGAAGTGTAGCCGAGGCGAATTTTAAAATTAGGTGGGATCATGATTTGACAATCCCCTCCCGCTCTCCTGGGCTCCAAATTAATTTCTCCGCCCAGTGAAATCATAGAGCTTGGGAAGATGCCTAACAGCTGAGGGGGGCTGGGTTTGTTTTTTGTTGGTAACCACCAAGAAACAGCTTCGAGGGGCAGCCAAGTTAGTGCCCAAAGGTAGCTGCCCCCCAGCTTCAGTGAGAAAAGGTGTCGAAAGGTGCCCCTCCCCCTCCCTTCCTCCCAGAGAAGAAAAGCGCGACTTCAGAAGATGCGCGGGCTCGCGCTGGATGTTTCTTTCTCGCGCTCTCACTCGTCCCCCCACCGCTTTTTTCACACTCACGCACACTCCGTGCGTTTGGAGCAGGATAGGAATCAAATTCAAAGAATGTTGATCCTGCAGCTGAAGACAGCAGGGTTGGGCTGTCTTGAGTGATTCCGCAGAAATTCCCCTCCCACCAGGCCCCCTCCCTTCTTCTCCCCCCTACTCCCGCCCATCCCCCAGGGTTGCGCAAACCCCCCATCAGCGAGGTGCAAGTCAGTCCCCCCTGCTCACTGCAGCTCTGAATTTCAGGGCAGCTTCAAGAGAGTTGGGAGGGGACAAGGATCCTGCTTCTTCTATTTATGGTTAGTCGTGAGCTCTTAGAAGTGACCAGTACTTTGCAAAGAGGGAGTGTTGAATGGAAAACGAAGGCGCAGGTTGCAGGAAAGTGTTTTGATCCTCAGACAGCTGGGATTTACCCCTGGCTGTAAGTCTGTAAACACACGCACACAAACACGCACACACCCGCACTCCGGGGCAGGGATACTCAGACGCAAGCTTGGCTCTCCAATCTCCGCGCGTCGCCCCCGCCGCAGCCGGGCCGCTCCCTTGGGGCTCTGGTCCACCACCTAGACGCTGGGGCGCGTGGAGCCCCCCTAGCCCCGCTTCCCGCTCTCTGGTTTTCGGGGCGGCCAGGGCACTCACTGTCAGAGGCCAGTGCACTCACCCCTTGCTGCCGCCGCCCGGAGGAAGGGCGGCTGGACTTACCCATAGAATCGGGCAGGGACATGTCGCTGGACCGCTGCTGAGTCAGGGACTGATGCATGGTGAAAGCTGCCCAGTTGCCCCAGTCCCTGAAGCTGCTTCAAGCGCCCCTGGTTTAGGGCACCCCGCAGAGCATCCTACTCCGCGGCTGCCTCTCCTGGTCCCTCCGCGAGCTGTGCGAGACTGCCTCTGGTTGCGAGCTGCAGCCCAAGTGCCGCCTCCCCCTCCCTTCCCCTCTTCTCTCTCCCTCCTCTTCTGCCTCCCTCTGCTCCGGGAGGCAGCAGCATTGGCGGTCCGTGCAGCCGCGTGCGCTTGCGCAAGACCCCCCCTCCCTCCCCCTCGGTCTCCCCATCCTAGTTATCCACCTCCCAGCCTTCCAAGCCAGACAGGGAGCCGTTTTAGCCCCTTGGGGCCAGGGCTGCGCAGAGAAAGAGGGGGAGGCTTCAGCCAGGGGCCAATCGGCCTTCTCCGTAGTTTGGAGAGGGTCTTGGGCAAGCATCCTGTTCTAGGATTTATAATTGGGGAGGGGGACAGAGTCAGAGGTTCAGAGCTGAGGAACACACACACACACACACACACACACTTGTGCAGGTCTGGTCTTAGTGCTTCCAGAATGACATAATGGAACTGGAGATGATCCAGAGAAGGGCCACTCTATAATCAGGGGATGGGGGGTGGTGGTGGAGGGGGCTGCCGTATGAAGATAGATTAAACAAATGCAGAGTCTTTAGTTTAGAACGATGAAGGCTGGGAAGGGATGTGACCAGAGTGTATAAAATTATGCAGGAATTGGAGAGAGGGAACACAGCCTTATTCACTAGATCTGAGAATTCTAGAACCAACAGCACCCTAAGAGCTAGAAGGAGATTCAGCTAAAGCAAATAAGATCCCTCTGTCAGCACCCGAGTTTGTACTGTTATTCAAGGTGCTTTTATGTATGTACATCAAGGGTTTCATTTTCTCATCACAGCAGCCATGCAAGGGAGGAAGAAGAGTTATTGATTACCCCATTTTACAGAAGAGGAAACTGAGTCTCAGAAAAGGGACAAAAATGTTTTGTGTTCACTTAGCTAGTCAGTAGCAGAGTGGGATTAAAACCTAAATCTGTTGGATTCTGGGGGCAATGTCTTCTTGCTATGGCATCCGAAAAGAACTGTTATTCTCTATAGCATATTGAAAACCTAAGGAATTAATTAGTCCAAGAGGTGCAACAGGATGAAAACACAATTATCTTTGGAAAGAGTGAAAATAAAGTCATGGCTGGCAGATTCACTATGGATTATTAAGGGAAAGTGGGGATGAGATGAGAATGTCCCTGATCTTTAAAGACAGCCAAGTTCTTCTCCAAACTTCTTCTGGACCTCATGAGGATACTGGGCTAGAAGCACTGTGTTGTTGACCCCGAAGGGTGGTTTAGATGTCCTCAAAACAGCCGCAGAGCAGGATAAGCACTCCTTGGAGTGACCTCAAGACATTTTCCTTGTGGCCAGGGGAAGTGGAGGGTGATGATGGGGATAATATTTTCCATCTCTCTGGAAACTCAGCCCTGTGGATCTGACATATCTCAGGGAATATATTTTTGGGGAGATATCCGTTCTGTTCCAGCAAGGAGCTCCCAGGTTCTGCTTGCAGTCTTTCCAACCACCTCCTCCTGATGGTTGCTGCAACTTTCTCTCGATGTAACCCCCCACCATCAAAAACCCAAACCAAATTGAGTATAAAACCCTCCTGAGAGTCAATGGGATGAGGAAGAGAACTTGGTTCTTTCCAGATCTGCCTGGCAAATCTACCATAAGGCTTTGTTTCTTTACTGGTGAACTGAGAGCTCTTGCCCTTTCCCATCTTCCAAAGGAAGAAAAGATGCTTCTTGAAGGTTAAAAAGGAAGCCCTTTCTAAAGAACTTGGGCACCCCAGGGGCCAAGCCAAATGCTGTGTCAGGTATTATTAGCAGCCCTATACTATAGATGTGGTTTAGTAATCTGTGATATATGTCCTAGATAGAAACAAGATGCCCATTACTGTAAAGGCGCGTGTGTCTTAAGTGTGCTTGGCTTATGTGTCAGAGTCTCCATAAGCCCCACAAAGGCAGATGGAAATCCCGTATTTATACTCTTGCACTTATAATCTTTCAGTCCTGTTTACGTCTCTTCCTCCTCCTATTCTAAATATCTTATATTTAATGTGAAGAACTCCTGCAACCAGCACTGATTTCTCAGGAGTGCTTCCTAATTAACGTATTTTGTTTCTGTAAAAGTAGCCATGAAGAAAAGAGGTTTTTATACAGGCTGGGAAAGACTGTTTAACGCCGTCTTTAGTGATGCGTGGCTCCTCTGGAGCAACCATACAGGGAGAGATCCCTGAAGAAGCCAAATAGAAACTTGTTAACATGCTGGTTTCAATGGACAGATTGAGGCCTTTTCAGTTTAGAAAGGAACACTCTCCCCATCAAATAATGCAGAGTGCATAGGTAATTTGACCTTTATAATCAAAACCACACACTAGTGAGGTGCCCTTAATGGGGGTGAGCTTTACTTTCCACAACATCTGTATTCCCAAATATGGCATGAAAATTGAGCATTATTTTTAAAAGTACTAGAGGAACTGGCTATTTTAAAGAACTGCATGCTGTATATTTCTTTCATTCTGTCTCCTGGGGTGCCTTATGGGACTTGGAACACAGCAGGCACTCAGTCAAGTTAAAAATGACTTTGAGACCAGTAGCAGTGACAATAGCAGCAGCTGTGGCAGCTCAGAGTAGTAGCAGTCTTTTCCCCAGAGATGGTGTGTGTGTGTGGATAAAGGATCCAGGATAAGGGGCAGGACTAGAATGGGAACGAGGGGGAAGAAAACCCACATTTCAACCAAGCCTGGTATATGGACCTCTTTTCCTCCAGAAGAAAGTTTATTTTAACTGAGAGTGAGCTGGATGATGAAAAAGAAAGAGGCAATTTGTTCATAGACTCCATTCATGTCAAAACACATGTGTACTTTATACATAAATAGGCTCATAGCAAAATTTACCAAGAGGCAATCCACCTAGATGAAGGAAGGAATAGGTCTTCCATGCTAGGGATGGCTACTATAAAAGTGCTTGGTTAGCTTCTGATAAAAAAGAAATTATTAACCTGGTTTAAATAAATCCTTTTCATTGCAAGCTTAATCAAGCATACAGTGTTGCCCTAGGTTGCAAACTGTTTATAGCCTCAGGAAATATTTACCAATGGGGCTGCAGCCTATATCTCTCCATCTTCTTCAAACCAATGATGAGGGCCCTCTGCAGAAGCTTTCAGACCACTAGAAAAATGCCAGATGGCGCTCTTTCGCTAGCACATTCACCTTGGAAATAACCATAGTACTCGATTACCTCCGTAGTTTGATAACCATTTTGACTAATCAAATCACCACAGTACCTTCCTGATCCTCAATTTGGGAATGTAGGCTAAAGGTTTCATGTCTACATGCAAAGAAAGACGTGCACACATCCATGCATATTTACATAGGTGGCCACACAAGTATTTATAAATGCACAGGCACATACAATTCCCAGATTGGTTATCACCACCCACCTGTCAGTTCTCCAAGGACAGAAAGGAGCTTCAGAATAATGGAATATCTCAAAGCGTTGGAACATCGCTAATTGAGGTTGGAGTTGTGCCCACCAGACTACCTTAGGTCAATGCCTACTATTCAGTGCCTGCACCACAAACAGCTACGTCTTCACTGAAGAGAAACAATGTTGAGGGTATTATCTCACCCACAAAGCTTAACTTCTTCCCATCCCACTTCAGCTGGTCATTTTCTTTGGGTACTAGGAAACAGCACTAGAACAGGACTTGTCTTTACTTTCTAATTGTTTTCTTTCTATTTTGTGACCTGCCTTAGTTACCAAACATTGTATCATAAGTGAACGTTCTTCAATACCAGTAAGAAATCTTTGATAATATGATCTTAAGTGGATGAAACATCACTTATTTACCACTCCACTGTTATGTTAGAGGCTTCTAATTTTTCAACATCGCAAATAATACAATGAACTACAAGGTCTGACAATTTGCAAACTCATCCTAGAAAAAGCTCTACATACCTCATTGCTGACTATCAATCACTACAGTGACCTTCAAAGTTCTCCTCTTGGAAAGCTATGTACTGACACTGGTACCCATTCCAGCTTCAAAGCAATTTTGGAACTCTTTTTCTGGAATGATCATCAGAGTTGTCATTGTATGGCACACAAAAATATGCAACAATAATAATGAACTTCCCTCAGCAAGACACAACCACATGTCAACACAAACACAGCTGTGAGACACTGACATACCATGGTTATGAAACCTTACTGAGTTGTTTGCATAGTGCTGCCAATGTAAGTAGACGGTGGCATGTTCGCAAACTTAATTGTCAGACCTTGTACAATGGCACATAGCTTCCCAAGGGGAGTACCTCAAAGGTGACTGTAGTGATATTCATCAATCAGGGATGTAGCACTTTTTCTAGGATGAGTTTGTGAATTAATTGTCAGACCTTATGAATCTTTGTCCCTTTTTCACCTTTAGGTACAAAACTACAGCAGAATTATTGGTTCAAAAGTTCCAAACACATATTTTTAACGAAGCATTTTTTATTAACATACATGTAGTAAAGCAGACCTACTAATGAATTTTCACACGCAGACATATATACCCTTGTGAACCACCACCCAGATCAAGACCTTGAACTTTTGCATCATCTCATATGACTCCCTTGAACCCTTTTCCCAGTCAATAACACTCCCACAGGTAACCAGTATTCTGATTTTTATCATCGAGTCCAAATACTTTTAAGGGTTTGGATATGTATTGCCAAATTGTCCTTCAAAATATTTGTAGCAAAGTACATTCTCATCAGCAACATGTAAAAGTGTCTGGATCACTACACCCGCTTGGCTTCATCTTGAAAAGGAGATATTCAAAACTGAAGACACACCTATTTATAACCAGCAACAAGAAGGGCCAGTTAATAAGTGAGTTCAGTTGGGCACAAGGCATCCAATGGGAACCACAGATCTAGCAGCAAGAAGGTGGCCGGGCGGGGCGGGGGGAGGGGAGTTTCAGCAAGCAGACAACACTGTGTCACAGTCTGTAAGTACAGTCATGCACCACAAAATGAGTCAGTGACAGACCATATATACTATGGTGCTCCCATAAGGTTATAATAAAGATGAAGAATTTCTATCACCTAGAGATAGTGATTCCATAGCACCATAACGTCATAGCACAATGCATTATTCACATTTCTGTGGTGATACTAGT